AAAAAAAATTAGTTATTCATGCACAGTATTTGCTCAATCTTTATAGAATGAAAAATGCCGAAACTTCATAAGGAGAACAAAATTCAAAATGGCGGAAAAATTATTGATGCAGTGTCATGCAGTGACCTTACCTAGTTGGCACCAAGGAAGAACGAAAACAATCAAACGAACCAGCTAGAAACAGAAAAAATCAGCGTAAAAATCATTATGGCACACAATTATAGCCTACTTGCATGCAACAACCTTAGCCAACTTATGTTTTGTTAAAAAAGATCTTTTTGTTGAATGTTGCTGGGTGTGTGAGAAAATCACGCAAAGATTGTTTCCCTTGGGATTCCTCTTGTTTCTATTCCGTAGATTCCGGATTCCAACTATCTGGATCCCGGCTTCTAAAGCTCAAATTTGTGGGTTTCGGTTTCCGTTTCTTTGGGCGAGGCTTGTTTAACTGACAAACAAAGCATAGAAGCTGAGGCCGAAAAGCCACAAGGGAAGTACGTTTACAGTGAACGAACTAAATAAAATAACAACAATCCCTAAAGTTGCTAGCTAAAGTTTCGCCTGAATTTGGATATAAAAGTTCTAGAAGTTCCCATGAACTTTGGGTCCGAGATTCTTCACCGATGCGTTTCTCACAAGTATTAAGTCCAACGCAGTGAATTACCAAGGTTAGGTGCCTTATTATTTGTTAACGGAAAATTGGTAAATCTTTGCAACAGAAGGTTTTTTGGCTTCCCATCGCCTTTTATACAATAATTTGAAGGGCGCACTTTTGTTAAGTGAAGCTTTGACCGTTTTAGTRCAGAGGTTTTAGGTACTTGCTCTCGAGACCTTTCGGCCTCAAGATCAGCTTAAAAAATATCATGGGTCATCATGGCATTAACAAGAAAAACTAACCTTGCGTACCGCGTGACGTTCAACTGATGTCATCATCAGGGCTCACATTACTTGTATCTGGACAAGAAACATATATATTTTAGATAAACACGGCAGGCGGTTAGAGTTAAAAACGGAGAAATATCTGAAAATACACGAAATCAGCTTTAGTTTTTTAGATATCGGGTCAAAATTACACTCGAAAGAACTCTTGTAGGAATATGGAATTTTTTTGTTTGTTTGTCTTTTTTATCAATTCTGCGTTAAATATTCCTCGGTCTTTATGTGTTGTGTACTTCAGTCTATTTTAAGACTTTTTAAAAAGATTTTTAACTTACCTCGGATTCAAAACTTTATCGTTGGTGGTTGTAAAGTTTGGTTAAACAAAGAGAATGAAAAGCACTTTYTTATGTTATCGTCAAGGGTCTTACTTAAAACTACTAAATTATTAAACTAATTAGCTACAATTCGCGCTGGAATAACTAATAAAAGGCTTATTGTTATGACAAGGGCTTAAACATTTTTAAAATGCATCGGTGTACTAGTGTAACTGAAATAATTGGAATTTGTCGCATTCTGGTTGGCAAACAAATGATTGAATTGCTACCAGTCATCTTTAATTGCTACCTGTCATCTAATTGGACTAGGGCAGGTGTACTGTTCAAGCATTTGTTTGTTTCCAGTCATTTGGTTTAATTAATAATTCAATGGAAGATTGAACTCTACATTWTAATCAGGGAATTTTGCTGGCAGTTTTTGTACAMGTCTGTCTATACATCCAAACCGGATGTACGCAGGCTATCTCTATGTATAAGTCAAGARAATGACGAAAAGAAAATCGCCGAAAAAAACAAAAAGCAATTTATTGATATATATAATAACGCGCGCTCTGATTGGCTGACGACCGTGTTTATATCAGAGGACAGAGACACGACTTACCGGCAAAATTTTCTTTTCGCTCGAAAAATTTTATAAAAGAAATATAAAACGTCCGCTTGTGTCTCTGTCCTCTGATATAAACACGGTGGGAGTTGAAACTGACACTCGAGAAGCAAGAGAAACACTCGCTACGCTCGTGTTCCTAATCTTACTTCTCTCGTGTTTTTCGAACTCCCACCGTGTTTATATCAGAGGACAGAGACACGCGCGCCGTTTTATATTTCTTAAATCAAATAGATTTAATAATAAAAAATGCTTCGACTTTGGGTTTCCTGTGGTCAAAATTCAAAAAAGAAACTGGGCACTATTCATCAGTAAACATGGCGGCAAATTCAGTTCGTATGRGTTTAATTGCTTAAAATATTTCTGATTTTAAGCGTCATATAAGTGATTCTGTTGTATGATATGCCTTTTCTGTAGCTCAATGTCATAGTTTCTTTTAAAACCGAAATCGAGGACAGTAGATACGATTTTCGACGAAAGTTACTCGATCGTTATGGAGGTCGAGGACGATTGCAAAGCCCGCCAAAACGACCCAAATGGGATTCTTAAAGAGGAATGTGAGCAAATTTGGGAGCAAATCTTCGAGGTATAACTGCATACATATGTATTAGACTTGACAGCCCTATAAATCATGTAAAAATTGAGATAAGTTACATGTCTAACAATGCACTCTGTATCACTCTTCGACTCCTCTCTGAAGTCTTATTACACTTAACGTCACAGGCAGCCCAGTTTTTTATCTCAAAATATACAAATCACAAACTGCATTCTCAMTTCTTAAACATTATAAGCTTAATGTCTAAACAATTGTGGATTCTCTGTTGAAGTATGTAGCAGTCCCACACACAGGCAACCTAGCCTCATGATTGTAATTTTGTAAATAGATGACTTATTTTAAACTGCAGATTTATTCAAGAATCCAWGCAAGAAATGAAAGCTGCCCATCAAAATCAGTTGACATTGACGGCGAGGAGGAAGTACGTTTCTGAGACAAAGCCTCATTAATGATCAGAAAAAAATATCATTCACTAATATTAATAATCAATGATAATAATTGCATGGAGGCTAAGCGTGATATGAGTTCTGTATAATACCAAAAAATTATTATCATAAGAAGCTGCCCAATAAATAAAACTATTATACTGGTAATCAACACAGCCACATACATGTAATGATAATGAAACATAAATTGTATTTCATGGTTAGATACATGCCATGATTYTAAAGGCCAAAGAAAAAAAGATACAAGCAGAAATATCTGCTCAACAGGATGACAAAATAGCAGGTGACTAAAACATWCTACTTGAACATTCATCKTTRTATTCAGATTAATTGTRCAATACAAGTTTTCATTTAAATGTTTTGCGGGTTATTATTCAGTCCCCAGAAAAAAATTACAACCAGATGAATATCAAATAAAGCTTCAGGTTTGTGTATTGTGAAAATATGAGATGAATAAATAATTCATATATATTTCTAAGATTAAATTCTTGGCTTGAAAGTTATGTCATCATCACCATGTTTAAGAAGATTTAAAAAGCATTCCWCATTATTTACTTTTGTTCTTTAATMRAACTTGRCAGTGATAGCTTTGTTCTTTATTTCTTGAGGGATAATTCTCGATCATATGGTTGCACACCAAGAATGTGTAACTTGTCACTCGTAATGTTACAATATCAAAACAAGCTTAAAATAATTATGTAAATTTAAAACAATATCAAAAAAGTAAAAAAAAAATGCAAAAACAAGTTGATATATTAAATGAAAAATGATTTATTTAGTTGGCCAACAGAGCTTCTCAGTTAGAGGAAACATTGTTAGTTGTAAAAAATCAGAAACAAGACATTCAGCATAAACTTGAAAGGTAAAAACAGRGATGCTGTCCCACACTTCAAAGCAGCATTTTTACAACTTTGTTGTCATTCAGTGACTTGTTGTGTGTTGATGTACAGGGAGGAGGMAATACTGCAACAACATCAAGAAATTCAAGAATCACTCCAACAAAAAATAAGAAAGTTAGAAATGGACAAAGAAAACCAACAAAGCAGTCACAGGTACATTAATATAAACTGTGTACATGTACATGTAACTATAAGGCAATTTCATTGTTTTATAATTCATTAGTGCTTGTTAGGTTATTGCTTTGTTTAGATTTAAGCTAGATGTTGACTATGCTTTGTCACCTGCATTGGTGAAATTCTTCTAGATTTGTCTCTACAATCGATATTGACTACATTTACCTAATACCTAATATATATATTTTTTTTAATATCAGAAATAACTTAATAGATATATTATATATTTTAATTATAATCAAACATGTCACACACAATTTCAGTGAAATTAAGAATTTGGAGTTGAAAACCCAAAGAGTGGAGAAAAACTTAAGTGGACTTGTGAAAAAATTGGTATGTACTGGTCATCTCTACCTGGAATTGTTTTACCACTTTGGATATAATTATTTAGTTTATTTATTTTCTTTCCAGGGTGCTTTCATTAAGGAACATTTTCCACTGCCAAAGATAGATGATCAAGAGGTAGATTTTTAAAAAGTTACATCAATGTATATTGACTTCAGATGGACAGAAAGATTTTGTTTGATGCTTTGAGACTCTTGCATTATCTTTGGGGTGGGGGTGGGGGAGGGGATTCTACTTTTTAATTACTAGAATGGTTACTATTTAGTAAATATTTTTTATCATATAACAGTCCCTTAAGTACAGTGAATCTGGGCAGACATACATCTCTCTCCAAGAACTATTGGAGGTTAGTATGGTTGATGGGGTTGGTATTTTTTAGTTCAAGTTTAATTCAATAAATAATAATAATTTACACATGAGTAGTTAGGTATGTTACAATCCATCCTCTGGAACCCAGGCATAATCTTTGGTAATTACCGCTGGGTTTCTGAGGATGGTTATATTGTAAATGACAAGCATGCAGAAACACAACATAGGAATTTTGTTTTATTCTTTAGGTGTTAATCAAGAAACTCTTCGACAGCCCAAATGACCCATACATTACCATCATGCCTTGYCATTGGCCTCCTTATATAGAGTTGCTATTACGATGCGGGGTTGCACTAAGGCATCAACATGATAGCAATTTCATTAGACTTGAGGCATTTCAGTCCTGATGGGAATAGCCAAATAGCCAATGAACAGCCTTGACACAGTAATGTTTTGTTATATATTTTGGATGGATTTAAAACAAGTGAAAATCAAACAAAATTATTATTTTTTACTAATCACTATGATTATAAATACAAGCATTTGAAATGTATGACTAAAATGCACAGAGCACTATTACACTAATAATAATTGCAATTATTTGGTTACTTTTTAATTACCATGATATGGGATCAAGCTAATGTACATGTTTATTACAGTGAAGTAAATGCCATACATGCATGAATCGACAATGAAAACACAATAGCACAATACCCTTGGTTAATATGTAATATGTAAACAAACCGGAGTTTGAATGTTAATCTCCTGCAATGGGCATTAGACTAATACATGACTGGTTCTAATAGAGTAATGTCAATATACATGTACCAGTGAAACAACATTTGACCATTATAGTAATAGTAACAGACACAATAAGAAAACTAGAACAATTAGAGCATACTAAGGTGTATTAGACTATTGTACTGTATGTATCAACAGAAGTGACACATGTCACTCTGCCCCAATCCCTTTTGATAGAGCCTGATATTCAGGCAATCTGATACTTGAAACAAGATAATAATTATTAAAATAATTAACATGA